TCTTTTTTTTTTTTTTTCTGTAGTAGTTAAAACTTTATGGTAAAAAAGTGATGAAGTCATTGCTACTGGTTACAGTGCTGAAAAGAAACCTAAATAATAGGAGGTTCTGGCATTATATAGGGCTTTTTAATATGTTGTCAGACTATCTTTCCAGGCTAGGTGCCTGGTCTACCTTGGCTTCCTAATTTCAGATTTCTACAGATGAGAGCCACACCATCCAAAGTTGGATAAGTGCCATCTCTCCCAATCAGACCAGGTCTTCCCCAGAAGGTTTTCCAATAATCTACGTAGCCCACATTGTTTGCTGCGACTGTACATGCTGTCACCGGTCAGATTTGGGAGAGGTCCAGAGAAAACTATATTGTTATAGTAGGACAGTGCAGCTATAAAAAACCTCAATGGGAACCACAGTACATAGTGTTTTTCTACCTGTGTCTTGATGCTTTGTCATTCAATACAATACTTTTTTGTAATTTTTGTAGTGTATAAACTTGCACCCACAAAGATTGTAGCCACATCTTGACAAAGCATTTTCATTCTGCTTCCAGATTAGGCGCCACATCCAGGGTAAAGAGAGAGCTGAGTGAGATCGTCTTCTGCAGAGTCAGACTGTGGATGGTCATTATCTCCATTTTCGTCCTCATTGTTTTTGTGATAATTATTTCAATGGTGGTGTGCTCAGGTAAACGTTTGTGATGAGTGGTTTCTATATTTAGGAGTGTTAGTTTATGCTACATTTATTAAAACATAAGTGAATGAACGGAGTAAGAAGTCAAGTAAAATAAGATGTGAAAGCACAAATGTAACAAGGCCATGGCAACTAAAGGCCAAAGCTTATGCAAGAACACAACATCAACACTTTGTGCAATGACTCTGCAGACTATTTCAGAAGTAGCTATAAACAATGTAAAGCTAATGATAACATCTTGCTAAAATAATGCAATTTAAACACAAACAGTTACGTTTCAGTTTTGAAGCTTTTGACCCATTTTCTCTCTGCGCAGCGGAATCCACGAGGATCCAGATGAAAGTTTGACCCTTCGTTGTTTAAAGTTCCTCTTTTTTTTCAATGGGAGCTTCCAATTGTCAAACATGGCCTTTTGAGGAGGAACATAGCACCTTAAATTACAGCAGTGATGCACTAACTGCTGACCTTCAAGAAAAGGTTTGACCAATTGTAACATGCATTTCAAATAATGTACTTAATAGCTTCATATTATGTGTGTGTGTGTGTGTATATATATATATGTAATGTGTTGTGTATATATGTTATATATATATTATGTTGTGTGTTATATGTATATATGTGTATGTATGTATGTACATAGAGACTGGAATATGCTGTATGTATATATGTACATACAGACGGAATATGCTGACAAACTAAGGATTGGATTGTACAGAGTTTCTTCTTTTCTTTGGCTATTGCATCAGTTGTAACATAGCAACAGCACCCATTAACATCATGAATAGAGAGTTTACTTGATACATACAGTGAAATGGCTTAAGATATAACAACTGGGGAAAGATGTCAGTAAGACAATTACATAATACTAAGTAGAAGTGAATAGTTACGTTATTAAGGCAAGGCGGATTTGCTCTCATTTCCATTTTGCTAAAATCTCTACCTAGCCTTATTCTGTTTTGTTGATTGAGAAAGCTGCAAAGCTGACAACTGCATATTTATGTGGTTTTAAAAGCACATCTCCACGTAGAAAACACTTTTGAAACTGAGAGAGTAACGCCACAAGCTTTGTAAGATGAAACCTGTTAATTTCTGCTTTTGCCAGGAGCTGAAAACCCTCTGTAGCTGTTTTTTTTTTTATCTCTGACAGAGAATTTAAATTGAAAGCAGTCTGCAGCAGAGCAGAGCTCGAGGTGAATTTTGAAAGTAGGTTAGTGTCACCAAACTGTTTCATCTCATTGTTTGCCTCTGCATGCACCAACCTGCCACACCCCAGCTGGCTGATATCTACAGATCCTCCCTGCTCTCGGACGATACTTCTCCAAAGCTAAATACATGTTTTACGGTAAATGCGATATCACCCCTCCTGCATGAAACAACTGGATTTAGCCTTCTGTCATTAGTGAATTTTACAGGGGGAAAAAAAAATGTGCATTGAACTTCACGACTTCTGTTTTACTCTCTCCCCCCCCCAGGAACAGCTCATCATCGCTGACTACCATCTGACATTTCTCATGCCTGAAAGAGCAGCAAAGATCAGCTGAGAAACTTTAGCCCTCAGCAGGGAGATGGTGTACAACGTGTTCAGACAGTTTCTATACGACCAAGGAACCAGACAGTTCTGAATTGCTGTACATTTGATCCCCTTTCCCTAAACATGTCTTGAGGACTTGAAAACCGGAGTATTTTGCTTTCTTTGTCGCTCAATGGAGATGACTCTAACCAAACACTAAACATCCTATGTATGATTTGAGAGCCCTGTAATGTTCCTATTGAAACACATCATGCATTTTAACCACAGGAAGCTAGAAAGCCACAGTCACACAGACCCACTTTATTTGTGGGTTTGTATGTGCAGGTCATATGCAGTATCTCATGTGTGTTCTGTTTAATAGGCTTTGAAGACTGTTGTTAAATGAAATGAATCAGCAGTGCAGGACATCTGCCTGCAGTCAAACGGAGTATTTTAACTCAAAGGAGAATATAGCAAAAATCAGGCTTTGCTTAGTATATGAAATAGTTTTTCCTAATGTATTTTAAATTTTATTGGGATTTACTGTGCCTTTTTTTTTTTTTTAAACTGCAGCTGTATGAATTGTAAGAGATATGGTATAAATGTCAGTGCTGTAAATATTCATATTAATTCCCTGACTATCACTGTAACTTCATGCGTGACCATTTGTACATAAGGAAAGCCTGTAGCCAGTTTAGTGTATTTTAATGGAAATACAAGTGTTCATATTTACATATCTGAGCCATTATTCTGTGTCACCAGAAAATGATTTGCAAACCAAAACTGTGGAACACTGTGAAAGCATTTGCCTAGAAAGTAAACAAACACTTTAAGGAAATAAGCTGTAGAGCACTGTACAGGGAAATGATCCTGCTGGAGCCTCATTCTGTAAGTGAAAGCTATGCATTTACATTTGAAATTATATATTTTACACAAAGAAATGATACTTTTTGGAGAATTTTACCAAATGCATCTTTTTTTTTTTTTACATGTCCGATGTTTTGTTTGACATATACAGTCAAGTGTTGTTCTCTGTGGTTGAACAGTAGAGGGAGTACATGTCATATTCAACAGTTACTATTTCCTTTGGTTTCCTCACTTGCTTTTCTGGCTCTGTCTGCAGAAGAACCATCAAGCATTTACATTGTTATCTTCCTCTTGAGCTGAATAAGTAGTAGGTTGTTAAAGTTAACAGCATCAGTGATGATATATCACACATGTATCAACTAGTAATACTGTGTCAGCACGTCAGCTGGTGTGTTTCCTGACAACGATCACGTCAAGATTACATGATAATACAGATTACAGCTGTGATTAATTCTCATGCCAAATTATCTGGTACAAACTACAAGATTTCATGGAAAGATTCAAGCTTGAGCCAACTAAGACACTAATAACCATGTAGAGGGTTTTTTAACAGTTCATTTTTATGGTAAAAACATGGCAATGGTTTGATTGAAATGATGAAAATGTGTAAAGGCTATAATTTTCAATAAATATTTTTTCAGGTACATTATTTGTCACTGTTGAAGCTATGCAGTTAATGTGTATTCAAACAGTTACTGCAGTTATTCACTTGCATTATAATCTCAGAGTCAGTTAAATGTTTTGGTTTGCTTTTTGTATTACTGACTCAATAAACACAATACCATGATATGGTGTAAACAAGTTTGAGGTTGACATGAAATTATGGTTGAATGTAATGTGGGGTTTTATATGAAGTAAATAATAATTCTGATGACAGTGTGCATAGAAACACAGCGTGTCCAATCTCACTGACGTTAAAGACAGTTTAACCCCACGTATATAAGATATTCTGAAAAGTTATGATTAGAATCACTTGGGAAAGAAACATTATTATGATACAAGTTCTTAATAATACTGTGTATGGAATGAACTACTGAGTTTCTTTTCCTCCTGGGCCACCTTTCCTCTTTTTTGTCTGGAGAGAAATATATTTTCACATGCAGTTCTCAGATGTCCGTGCTGCCTGACAGTCAACATGCTGGTTTCAAAATAAATCCTTTATTATTTTAGAGTCTTATGAGTTTGTTGGATCACTGGTGGAGTTTTGTGCACCCCTTAGGGCCCAATTAAAGGTGGGGTGTAACAGTTTAGATGAAGAAACACCAGTTGTGGGAAGGGTGTTTTTTTTTTTTTTCTGTAGTAGTTAAAACTTTATGGGTAAAAAAGCTGATGAAGTCATTGCTACTGGTTACAGTGCTGAAAAGAAACCTAAATAATAGGAGGTTCTGGCATTATATAGGGCTTTTTAATATGTTGTCAGACTATCTTTCCAGGCTAGGTGCCTGGTCTACCTTGGCTTCCTAATTTCAGATTTCTACAGATGAGAGCCACACCATCCAAAGTTGGATAAGTGCCATCTCTCCCAATCAGACCAGGTCTTCCCCAGAAGGTTTTCCAATAATCTACGTAGCCCACATTGTTTGCTGCGACTGTACATGCTGTCACCGGTCAGATTTGGGAGAGGTCCAGAGAAAACTATATTGTTATAGTAGGACAGTGCAGCTATAAAAAACCTCAATGGGAACCACAGTACATAGTGTTTTTCTACCTGTGTCTTGATGCTTTGTCATTCAATACAATACTTTTTGTAATTTTGTGTAGTGTATAAACTTGCACCCACAAAGATTGTAGCCACATCTTGACAAAGCATTTTCATTCTGCTTCCAGATTAGCGCCACATCCAGGGTAAAGAGAGAGCTGAGTGAGATCGTCTTCTGCAGAGTCAGACTGTGGATGGTCATTATCTCCATTTTCGTCCTCATTGTTGTTGTGATAATTATTTCAATGGTGGTGTGCTCAGGTAAACGTTTGTGATGAGTGGTTTCTATATTTAGGAGTGTTAGTTTATGCTACATTTATTAAAACATAAGTGAATGAACGGAGTAAGAAGTCAAGTAAAATAAGATGTGAAAGCACAAATGTAACAAGGCCATGGCCAACTAAAGGCCAAAGCTTATGCAAGAACACAACATCAACACTTTGTGCAATGACTCTGCAGACTATTTCAGAAGTAGCTATAAACAATGTAAAGCTAATGATAACATCTTATGCTAAAATAATGCAATTTAAACACAACAGTTACGTTTTCAGTTTTGAAGCTTTGACCCATTTTCTCTCTGCGCAGCGATCCACGAGGATCCAGATGAGAAGTTTGACCCTTCGTTGTTTAAAGTTCCTCTTTTTTTCAATGGGAGCTTCCAATTGTCAAACATGGCCTTTGAGGAGGAACATAGCACCTTAAATTACAGCAGTGATGCACTAACAGCTGACCTTCAAGAAAAGGTTTGACCAATTGTAACATGCATTTCAAATAATGTACTTAATAGCTTCATATTATGTGTGTGTGTGTGTGTATATATATATATGTATGTGTGTGTATATATGTATATATATATATGTGTGTGTATGTATGTATATATGTGTATGTATGTATGTACATACAGACTGGAATATGCTGTATGTATATATGTACATACAGACTGGAATATGCTGACAAACTAAGGATTGGATTGTACAGAGTTTCTTCTTTTCTTTGGCTATTGCATCAGTTGTAACATAGCAACAGCACCCATTAACATCATGAATAGAGAGTTTACTTGATACATACAGTGAAATGGCTTAAGATATAACAACTGGGGGAAAGATGTACAGTAAGACAATTACATAATACTAAGTAGAAGTGAATAGTTACGTTATTAAGGCAAGGCGGATTTGCTCTCATTTCCATTTTGCTAAAATCTCTACCTAGCCTTATTCTGTTTTGTTGATTGAGAAAGCTGCAAAGCTGACAACTGCATATTATGTGGTTTTAAAAGCCACCATCTCCACGTAGAAAACACTTTTGAAACTGAGAGAGTAACGCCACAAGCTTTGTAAGATGAAACCTGTTAATTTCTGCTTTTGCCAGGAGCTGAAAACCCTCTGTAGCTGTTTTTTTTTTATCTCTGACAGAGAATTTAAATTGAAAGCAGTCTGCAGCAGAGCAGAGCTCGAGGTGAATTTGAAAGTAGGTTAGTGTCAGCCAAACTGTTTCATCTCATTGTTTGCCTCTGCATGCACCAACCTGCCACACCCCAGCTGGCTGATATCTACAGATCCTCCCCTGCTCTCGGACGATACTTCTCCAAAGCTGAAATACATGTTTTACGGTAAATGCATATCACCCCCTCTGCATGAAACAACTGGATTTAGCCTTCTGTCATTAGTGAATTTTACAGGGGGGGAAAAAAAAAATGTGCATTGAACTTCACGACTTCTGTTTTACTCTCTCCCCCCACCCCCAGGAACAGCTCAGTCATCGCTGACTACCATCTGACATTTCTCATGCCTGAAGAGCAGCAAGATCAGCTGAGAAACTTTACCCTCAGCAGGGAGATGGTGTACAACGTGTTCAGACAGTTTCTATACGACCAGGAACCAGACAGTTCTGAATTGCTGTACATTGATCCCCTTTCCCTAAACATGTCTTGAGGACTTGAAAACCGGAGTATTTTGCTTTCTTTGTCGCTCAATGGAGATGACTCTAACCAAACACTAAACATCCTATGTATGATTTGAGAGGCCTGTAATGTTCCTATTGAAACACATCATGCATTTTTACCACAGGAAGCTAGAAAGCCACAGTCACACAGACCCACTTTATTTGTGGGTTTGTATGTGCAGGTCATATGCAGTATCTCATGTGTGTTCTGTTTAATAGGCTTTGAAGACTGTTGTTAATGAAATGAATCAGCAGTGCAGGACATCTGCCTGCAGTCAAACGGAGTATTTTAACTCAAAGGAGAATACTAGCAAAAATCAGGGCTTTGCTTAGTATATGAAATAGTTTTTCCTAATGTATTTTAAATTTTATTGGGATTTACTGTGCCTTTTTTTTTTTTTTAAACTGCAGCTGTATGAATTGTAAGAGTATTGGTATAAATGTCAGTGCTGTAAATATTCATATTAATTCCCTGACTATCACTGTAACTTCATGCGTGACCATTTGTACATAAGGAAAGCCTGTAGCCAGTTTAGTGTATTTTAATGGAAATACAAGTGTTCATATTTACATATCTGAGCCATTATTCTGTGTCACCAGAAAATGATTTGCAAACCAAAACTGTGGAACACTGTGAAAGCATTTGCCTAGAAAGTAACAAACACTTTAAGGAAATAAGCTGTAGAGCACTGTACAGGGAAATGATCCTGCTGGAGCCCTCATTCTGTAAGTGAAAGCTATGCATTTACATTTGAAATTATATATTTTACACAAAGAAATGATACTTTTTGTGTGCCTTTTTACCAAATGCATCTTTTTTTTTTCTTTTTTTTTTTTTACATGTCCGATGTTTTGTTTGACATATACAGTCAAGTGTTGTTCTCTGTGGTTGAACAGTAGAGGGAGTACATGTCCCATATTCAACAGTTACTATTTCCTTTGGTTTTCCTCACTTGCTTTTCTGGCTCTGTCTGCAGAGAACCATCAAGCATTTACATTGTTATCTTCCTCTTGAGCTGAATAAGTAGTAGGTTGTTAAAGTTAACAGCATCAGTGATGATATATCACGCATGTATCAACTAGTAATACTGTGTCAGCACGTCAGCTGGTGTGTTTCCTGACAACGATCACGTCAAGATTACATGATAATACAGATTACAGCTGTGATTAATTCTCATGCCAAATTATCTGGTACAAACTACAAGATTTCATGGAAAGATTTCAAGCTTGAGCCAACTAAGACACTAATAACCATGTAGAGGGTTTTTTTAACAGTTCATTTTTATGGTAAAAACATGGCAATGGTTTGATTGAAATGATGAAAATGTGTAAAGGCTATAATTTTTCAAATAAATATTTTTTCAGGTACATTATTTGTCACTGTTGAAGCTATGCAGTTAATGTGTAATTCAAATGTAACAGTTACTGCAGTTATTCACTTGCATTATAATCTCAGAGTCAGTTAAATGTTTTGGTTTGCTTTTTGTATTACTGACTCAATAAACACAATACCATGATATGGTGTAAACAAGTTTGAGGTTGACAATGAAATTATGGTTGAATGTAATGTGGGGTTTTATATAGAAGTAAATAATAATTCTGATGACAGTGTGCATAGAAACACAGCGTGTCCAATCTCACTGACGTTAAAGACAGTTTAACCCCACGATATAAGATATTCTGAAAAGTTATGATTAGAATCACTTGGGAAAGAAACATTATTATGATACAAGTTCTTAATAATACTGTGTATGGAATGAACTACTGAGTTTCTTTTCCCTCCTGGGCCACCTTTCCTCTTTTTTGTCTGGAGAGAAATATATTTTCACATGCAGTTCTCAGATGTCCGTGCTGCCTGACAGTCACATGCTGGTCAAAAGGTGAAGTTTAAACAGCACTGCATCAGTAGGATCCAAGAGGTTTCAACATTTTATTACTGTACATAAAACCACATCTCTCCACCTGGCAGCTATTTGAAATACTCAAACATTGCAAATGTTGAGAAAACAAGAATGAACCTGCATGTTTCTGTTTAGACTGAATTTATTGATTCTGACCAGACAACTTCAGCTGACATAAGCTGCTCTTTACTGTATTCAGGGTTCAAGAAGGTATTTTCTACAGGTGTCTATCTCTGTTCTGTTAAAGTAAACACTTTTCTTAATCTGTTGGCAGTGGTGAGCGATCATGTGCTATGTCACAGGGCGGCAGCCTGGATCCTGGTTGTGTGTGCCTGATAGACTAGTGGATACTAGCTGCCTGTGCAGTGTGTAGTCACTGGTGGTCCATCTTCTCAATCCTATTTTGAGAATTGTTAATCGTCTAAAGCCAGATTTACTATAATAAGCACTCTGAGCTTTGATAGACTGGTGGGTTTTAACAGCAGTCACTACTCCCAAGGCTCTGTCATACCCATGATCCTCTCATACGGGTCATGCACAGCCACACTTAGGTCACCTATGGGTCAACAGTGCAGGTTAAACATGTGTTTATATCACTGTGAGATTTAGTGCAAGATTTTTCCATAGACTCAAACTCTGCTGCAGTTCAAATCTACTCGCAAATGTGTGAATATAAAACTGATCTATATCATAAGGCTTGAATATAGGTTAATGATTATATATGGTATTTTAAGAAACACTGAAATATCCTTTATCCTCTTGCTAATTCAATGGCAACACCATTTTTGATTTCTTAGCATTAGAAGAAAAGTGGCAAAGAGATAATTTCAAGCGTAATATCTTCTTTGCTTGTCATTGAGAGAAAGAGCAAGTGTATGAACCCCCCTCTCTCTCCTGCATGTTGATATCACACAGAAGATGTTTAAGTTATTTTGACCTGGTGGTGGAAAGTGGTGTTAATTCTTTGTGAATGGTGGGCAAGGCAATGCAAAGCAAATGTATTTATACAGAACAATTTGTAACAGGTAAGCTCAGTGTGCTTTACATTAAGGTGCATAGAAATTCAGATAAAGTAAATACAAGAACAGCCACACCGACAACCACCCATCCTCCAAAACGAACTGACAACCCTCCCACACACACGCACTCACCAGGATCTTAGATACAGTTGAAAAGGTACATTTTTCATTCCTCCATGCATGTATTCTTCTGTCACACAACCATACCAACAAAAGACCACAGAAATCACAAGCCTTAAATACCTCGCAACTTACAGCACAAAAATCTAAACATCAAAATTAGTAGCTTTTGAAAAAAAAAGTACATAAATACATGTGCATATTTATAATATGTTTGACTATATTTATCATACATGATAATAAACCTTTATGTAATATTTCATAAGAGGAATAATGTGCGTAATGTAACTCAGAAATATCCTTTAGTCTGTTCATGTTTGTAAAGAAGATAAGTCAGTTCTAAGAGGAACTCCCTCGGTTAATTCCAGAAGATTCCCAGAGGTGTGTGATAACCTTTGTGAATGGGCACCCAGCTATGTGGGCAAACTTACATGATTTACTTACATGCAGAAATGAATGCAAACATAGAGGTGGAAATATAAAATAAGTAGCAGTTATGAAAATGAAGGGTCATTGTTTAATAAGGTCAATATAAAAGATGTAAAAAAAAAATAGAAAAGAAAATGAAAAAAGCAAATAAATAGAAATAGAAATATGAAGTAAAAAATATGTATATAAATAAGAAGTTCAACTTTTTCGACCAGTTCCATAGTAGATGTGGACTATCAAGGCAAACAGCATCAATTAAACTCTTTATCTCTCCAAGACGCAAGAGGTCAAACCTGAGGGAACTTCCTTTGTTGCATATTACAGTCCCAACCCCTCATCAATCCCAGAGCATGCAATGTCCTGAGTTTCTTAGAAGACCTCTGCAGTTATCCCATTAAAGGGTTATGTCTCCTTTTGGCCGTCCCAAGACTTAAAGATTAAGGCAGTTATTGTATGAGGCTTCAGCCGGACCACAGTCACTCCCAGAGCTCTGCACGAACACTGTCCTCTCTCGCATCAGCCTCACCGCCAGCTCTCTGCAGGATTCTGGACAAGAATCAAACCTCTGGAGGAGTGATGGGTTCCCACTGCTCAAATTTGGATGATATACTGGAGGAAGACATGCACCACTGGTACACCAAATTCATGAAGGAGTCTCCCTCGGGGCTCATCACACTCTTTGAGCTCAAAACGATGCTTGAAATGAACGGTATGACAGAGGAGGCCAGCAGCTACGTGGACCAAGTCTTTTTCACCTTTGACATGGACGGGGTAAGAAAATACCTAAAACACATTTCTTCTTCTCTGCCCAGGAAAAAAAAAGATTGTGTGATCCCGTCAAAAATGTTGACAATACCGCCAATTTGTCAGACGACTGAATAGACAGTTGCTTAGTGAATTTCTGTTGCATGTACCTTGTTGAAGAAAACAGATCAATTTGACAGGTTTGCTACTTTATCTCAAATGGTTTTACGTGAAGAGTGCAATATTTTAAAAGGAGTGATTAGAGATTACAGATATTTCTGACGTTTTAAGAAGGATAAACTGAGGTTAAACTCTATCCTGTGAGTCCTGGACTCCTTCACAAAGCTGAGGAAAAAAGGTCACACATGCACATGTACATTAAAGTTGGGCTACATGATTTACAATATAACTATCTGCAATAGTTTCCCCAGAATTACATTACCCCTACAGTGCTTGATAATATGCTAAATGATAAAATTCGGATTTAAAAAGAATCCTGATTGAAATAAAAAGTAACTTTTGATCTTGCACTATAAGCATGAGCATAAGTATGTATGCATAAGCCCTAACTGTATCTGTTCTGTGTTCTTTTGCAGGATGGCTACATAGACTTTGTCGAATATATTGCAGCAATAAGTTTATTACTGAAAGGGGAAATAAACCAGAAATTAAAGTGGTACTTCAAGCTTTTTGATCAAGATGGGAATGGGAAAATTGACAAGGAGGAACTGGAGACTATATTTAAGGTAGTGTATATTTTCTTTTTGAATGTTTCATAATTAGAGCAAACAGTTCACAGTTCCCTGAATCGTAAAGCTTTGCTGCTCTACCGCTAAACGGTAGAAATTGGTTTAACTGGCCATGAACTAGACACGGCACGTAATCCAGGGGGCTTCTTATCTAACCCCGTGTCTAAATATGGCCTTGTTTATAATCTAATTCACTGTCTAAAGAAGTCATAGAGTAATCACCCTGCAGATTGCATGACACTTTTTCACCTTGTCACAATTATATCAAGAACTTTTCACCACTCAAGTCAAATCATGACCCACCTACTCGCTATGGTTGGAGTATCAGTAAGAGCTGCTGTAGTATCAGTAGAAGGTGTAGTTGGTAGTTGGTCCAGTATGACGTATTGTTAAGTCTCCTGGTTATTGAGCATCTGAATGGAAACAGGCATAGCATTATATTAAATTATTATGCCTTTGTATGTATCTGTGTAACTAACAACTAACTGTGTAAACTCTCCTATCAGGCAATTCAAGATATCACCAGGAGTTACGACATTCCCCCAGAGGAGATTGTGACTCTTATATATGAGAAAATTGATGTCAATGGAGAAGGTAACAAATATTGTATTATCAGTCCATAATATAACAATTTATCAGCCCTCAACACGGAAACAGTTTATCACTAAAACCCTAGAATGTGTTAGTGGCTGCATCCAAATTGACAACATAATGTCTAAGAGACTGGTTTTCAGAGAGAAATATTGCATAAACAGGAAATGATGTTTAAATAGACTTTGTTATCATTGTGTATTTTTATAATATATAAGTTGTCCCTTGAATATTGTAAAGAAAATGTAATACTTAAGATGTTATTCATCTTTTCTGCTGTAATTGTGTCTTCAGGGGAGCTGACTCTGGAGGAGTTCATCAGTGGTGCGAAGGAGCATCCTGACATCATGGATATGCTCACCAAGATGATGGATCTCACCAATGTCCTGGAAATCATTATCAGAGGTCAACAGAAAAATGCTGTGAACTGAATTGATAACCTACAAGCTGGACTGTGTGAGGAATCAAAATTGTTTTTTGGTGGATTTTCAGATGGCAGCAGTGTTGAGAAAAGAGTGTATGTGCTTGATGAAGAGCCAAGTCCCATCTCAGACTGCACAGAATGAAAATGAATGAACAGTACCACCCAGATATGATCCTTCTGTAAGTTGCCCAAGGGGTGAAGGAAAATTTGTCCCCTTCCTTCTGCTTGTGCTCTCAAAGTTCTTGTACGACGGCCCTTCAGTTTTGTGAAGGTTTAAAACACTTTAACTGATAATGTGTCTGGAGAGTCTCAGTGAAGACAGGCCCATCTGCTTTCAAGTTCTCATCATGCTCCAAGGAGATGGTGCAATGTAAGGTGGATAAATCACTTTAATTAATGTCATTAAGAGTTTACTGAGCTGGAAATGCTGTACGGCCTTCTTGGTTTGCAGAACTGTCGGGCACAAAGTGAAAAACTGAGTGGGTTGCTTCAGTCCAAAATGTCTTGGACGGCTTTGGAATTATGTTTTATTCAAATCTGAAAAAGATTTATAATTGAACATACTATTAATACTATTAATTAATAATTTAATTCTGATTAATCCTGTTGAAGACAAACTCAAGCTTCTTTTAGAAAGCATCGTGGTCACTTCATATACCAATCATTCACATAATTACTGTATATGGGTGTTAAAATATTAATACAATGTCAATATTCAAAACACTCACTGAGATTGTTTGTGTTGTTTTGTGTTGTTGCTCTTGTAAGATCTGCATGAAACCCTCACTGCTGGATGTAGAAAGACTTGAAGGTAACAGATTACTAATGACTGAATGTAAAAATATCTGTCATTGTGTACATGATATGTAATGTTTCACAATATTTTTGCTGTAATTAAGGTTACATTGTTGCCTTAAAAAATCAATACAATGGTTTTGTTAAAAGAGTTGGCACAGATTACTGTATGATTATTCAATATTCTGCCAGATAAAGATGCAGAAGTAGAAAGAATACAACAGGTTTTAGATGTGATGTATCTGCACTGCACAAAATGGACAATTTTTCCTTAAATGTATGGCTTAACTTTTTAAATTGTTATGTATGCATTTACATTTACTCATTTTATCCAAAGCGACTTACAAGTGAGGGACAACACTAAAGCTTCATTGCAGTAGGAAACGTTGGTGTAAGTACAAAGTACTACATCTTTTCAATAAGTGCAAGGGGATCAGGTTAAAAAAAAAGTGCACTGAAAGGGGATAGTAAATTCTCATTAGATATCTTAGGGTGTTAGAGGTGTTAGGAGAGGACGTGCTCTCGGGAGAGATGAGTCTTAAACAGATTCTTGAATATAGAGAGGGGCGCTCTTGCTCTGATAGTATTCAGTAGCTTGTTCCACCATCGGAGAACCACAAAGGAGAATCTGGACAGGGATTGCCTTGTGTGCAGGGATGGCAAAGCCAGATGACATTCCTTGGACGAATGTAGGGGCTGAGATGTAGCTTATATGATTGAGTTCAAGTAGATGAGTAGGTAAAAACACAGAAGTCACTCTGAAGGCAGCATTAGTGACTTGAATTTGATTCGGGTGGCCCTGTCTTAGCCACTGTAGGTCCATGAGTCGTGGAGTGACCTTGTGTGCCCTTTTAGGCTGATTGAAGACCAGACAGGCTGTCATATTCTGGACCATTTGTAAGGATTTTAATGTGTGTGAAGGGAAGCCTGCCAAAAGGGCATTGCAGTCATTGAGGCGAGAGATAAAGTGAGAGATGGCCTGGACCAGAGTTGGACCTGAGCATACCTGATGACTACTACAGTTCAGTCTTAGAGAGGATCAGGTGAAGGTGGCATTCCTTCATCCATGTGGATATGTCAAAGAGACAAGCTGAGATCTGCACAGAGACCATGGGATCATCTGGCGGGAATGACAGGTATAGTTGGTTGTCATCTGCACTGCAGTATTATGAGAAGCTATGCATGCAGATAATTGGACTTAAGGAGGTGGGATACAATATATTGCAAAGACAAGGTGTCAGTACAGATCCTTGGGGTACTGCAGTGGGGAGGGGATGGGATAAGGAGATTTGTCCTTGCCATGTCAGACTGAAGGAGCACCCAGTGAGATAGGATTCAAACCACGAAAGCGCTTTGCCTGTGATGTCCACATCGGAGAGTACAGACAGCAGGATGTGGTGGTTCACTGTATCAAAGGCTGCTGATAGGTCCAGCAAGATAAGAACTGAGGACTGAGCAGCAGCTCTAGCTGCCCTTAGGGCTTCTAGAGAAGTGCAGCGGTGTGACTGTTAGGTAGTCTTTGGCACAATTTCAGGCGAGAGGGAAGTGTATGTATGGTACAGTAGCAAACAATGGAGGCCATATTAAACAATTGGGAGTGGGAAAATGTTTCAATATATAAAGTACATAAAGCCATACTGTTACTTATGGCATGTAAAGGCAGTATTATTTACAGTCAGTCAGTAACGGATGAATGCACTGATTAGACAACGGACCACTCAAAGAGCTCATGGTCGCCATCTTGTGGGCACATATGGAGGAAGTTCAACTCTCAGATTTCCAGGCCCTCCTTTATTGTAGCTTCTTTGTTCGGTTAATAAGTTTCATTACATTATCAACTTATGGTGAAAAGAGCTGGACAGCATGTTTAAGTACAGTCTCTTCTGTTAAGTGGACCATTGTCAACAGGATACAGGGTTTGTAACTATTGGGGTTTAGAAAACCTGTACAAATGCATCACTCATTCACTTTAGCAGCCAAATTCTATTCAGTATGATGGTTTCAAACTACAAAGATACCTTACATCTCTGCATGAAAATATATTTTAAATCCTTCCTGATCCCAAAAGCAGCTATCATATTCTAAATGATAATCTTAACCTTCTTAAGTGACACAGAGTGGTATTTTGTGTCCGGGGCTGTGCTTGGCTCCTCTTCTGAAGCTGTATGCCAAGGAACAGACCGCCTGCAGAGCTTTCTCTTCCATCTGAGCAAAAAATACCAGCGCTTGTCACACACATGAAGGAACCTTAGTGCCAGCCATCCTTTGGTTTGGAGAGGAATCAGGCCCAGAAACAAATGTTTGCACCCAGGCATATTTGGACCCATTTCATCCGATGTTTGCTTCCCTCATTTTTTTTTATATCAGGATCATAATAAAACTTAATTTTCTTTTCAAGACTAACCATCCAAGTTCTCTTTGCCTTTGCAATAACGTTGCATGTGCAATCAGGGATCAGAAGAGCCTGAAGTCCAAGCCTATAAAATAACCTGAAAATCTAAACAAAGCTGACCTTGGCTTAACACCAAGGCTCTTTACCTTGGGTTGAAATTTGATATCCCTCAGCTCATCTTTTAAATCAATCAATATCAAACCATGCTCTATCACTTCATACTGAGGTCATTCAAACATAGTGGTCTGCATGGTTAATGATTTGACACTGGTTCATTTTGGTGCAAACTGGTCAGACATTATGAACTCAAAAGAAACTGAAGGTTGTGTAAATAAAGCAGAGATAAGGGTTTGACTTCAAATAGAACTCTAAGTGTTCCTAAATGTATCGGATGATGCAATTGCGTAACTGCACCGATCAACCCACCTGTGCTCATCATATAAATTCACCACCATATGCACTCATGCCTTTGCACTGCACACTGCTTCCTACTGTACGCCACCACAGTACAGGAACAGCTGACCACATCCAACTGGAACCATGCAGTCTGCCGACGCCAAATTCAACAAAAAAAGCCTTCTCCTGGCTCTGAGGCGATACAGCTCAGCCATCAGTGACATGGAGCAGACCATTCTCCTGCCAAGCCTGCTGCGAGACGTGCCCTCTGATGAGGTGTGGGACAGTGAAGCAGCAGAGGAGTCATGTGAAGACTTGTATGGAAACTACCTGATGCTCAAAGCCATAAGAAACACAGTGGAGAGTGGCCTGATTCCCCTGGATGACCACAAGACAAAGAACACCACAGTGCTCAACAACACCCTAGAGCCTCTTCTGAACACAGATCCTGAAGCCCTCTTCCGCTTCCACCTGAGAGGGCTGTTTTCTGTGATGAGCGAACTGACCAAGAAGACTCGGAGCCTTACTGATAAATATATGGACATCATTGGAGCAGCAAATTAGAAAACAGTGTTAACATATATGGACATCAAGCAAAAGATCGGGTGTTCATAAAAGTGTGGTATATGTAGCAAAGTCACCTGAACGTCTCAAATGTCTGAAATGTTTACATTCAGTGACCCCATGTTTCTAACACTGCAAATATGGATTAAAGTGCACTACCAAAACTGTTCATTTCTGTCTCCATCTGTTCATTGTAATAGTCCCTTGGAAACTATGGTTTGCAGATATGGCAAAAATATTGATTATAGTGACGAAACAGCAATGTTCTAGGCTTCATTTATGTTCAAACACACGACCTTACAGGGAATTATGATTATTGTTTTGACTAATCAGGAAAATTTCAGGTAGAAAATGTTGAATTTGGGATCTCTTTTTTATTTACATAGCTATATTTCACACAGTATATGACAGGAAGATTTCACAAAAAGACCACTGAAGACAGATGGTAGTCTGCAAGTGTTTTCTCTCGACATCCCTCTTCCATCTCACCAGGTGCTGACACTTAGCGCACAGGATGGAAAGGCTCCACAATCTCTGCAAAGGTCTTTTTTTCTGGTGACATAAAAGAAAACAAAAGAAACAATGTGATAACACACATATGTGGGCCACCATATTTTTTAATTCTAGTTCCTCTGTGTAGACTTACAAATATCCTACTGCACTTCAAACACTACAGAAATTATGGCACAAACTGTGGCACGGAATGGAGTTTTATATCCTGATACTGACTATGTGTGAAGATACTGGCTTGTGATCAGCATACGCCTGCAGTTATGGTGGAATGGCAAAATATGTGAACAACATGCCACAACTGATTCTGTGCAATACAGTAACAGCACATACAGAAACAAGAGTAAAAATATGCAGAGTGAGAAAACATTTTTTAATGAGTTCGTACAGAGTAGTCATAAACTAGTAAACTTGAATGGTTGTTTTTAATATACAGACAATAAAAAGAGCACTGTCGTTGAACAGCCATTCCTGTGTATTGAATGAAAATCCACCTGACACTACGCTGACACTTAATTTTGCTTAACTGCACAGACAGATGCATGAAGTGGACCATCAGTGACTGTATCAGACTTTAACTGTGGAGAACAATGGCAGTGTCCAAATATAAAGAAAGATATGAAGATGCTCAAAAGTACATCAAACATTATACATGAGGGAATTAGTATTGTTAGGTTCCTGTACGCTCTTGTGAGTGCAAAAAAACTGAAGGTTTACTTACCCTTTGCTGCAAACTCCTGTGGGTGGAGTCTTACATACTCGTTCATGTCTCGATCAAGTCTGGCGAAAGTGTAATTTTCATATTTTGAAATGTGGTAGCCGATGAACCAACCAATGGTTGCCAACAGGGCTTGTCGATGAACACCTGAAAAAGTAAAATAGGATAGATATGATTGTGGTTTAAGCATACAGCATGACATTACTATAATATTAATTTTGCATTCAAAGCACAAAGCTTTCATGGTGCTGTGCTTATGAGGAACCACAGGCATGCACCTTATACTTTTCAAAATAAGCAGGAGCAAGCTTCAGAAATTTAAGTTAAATGTTTACTCACGTCTTTTTATTATTGCTACCTAGTAGATAATTAAGTCCAATTTAAAACTAGAATAATCACATAAACAAACATACAAAACTACTCCATAATAGGCCAAGTATACACACACAAAAGCTCTCAAACTAAAGCACTATAAGACAGACCCTGGAAATGTAGTTGGGTAAGTTTATTGTCCATTTGTGTTTAGTAACACTGATAATATATACATATGAACATTATTACTTAGTCTGTTAATAGTTTGTTATTTACTTGAGACATTTTTGTTAGATAAGGAGATACAAATGGATAACCACACATTCAGCTATCATAACATGATAAGCTATCGTAACAAGTTACTGCTCTGCTGCGATACAACATGGTGATTCTTTGTTAAATGCGCCATGCCAGGCCTTTTTGTTTGTCTGTTTTTATGCTTTCTGAGTAAATTTTGTGTCTCCGGAGACAAGATAAAGTCCGAAAGCCAGCTAACAAACATGCTAACCTGATTTTAGCGGTGGCCTGTGGTTAATGGCATTTTGAAGCATCGCGGAGCACCAGCCTACACCCGCAAGCCACAACGAATTCCTGTTGACGAGTCCCGGAGGAGGGAGAGACTTTGCCTCGTCTGGTATGAGACCCATGGCGAGAATATGTCCCTTAAATTCAGATTATTTTAGTGACCTCCCAGCTGCCTGTTCCTACTACACAGCTTTCACCTCCGGTAGGAAGACAAGGGCATGGTGTGCAACCGTGACGAGCCGTCCGGGTAAAACATTGAAAAATCTTCCGTTCCCGCTACACTGTTTCCTAGCAACCGAGGGCAAAACTTTAAATAAAGCGATAAAGGTGATTTCTTTTCGATTATTACATTGATTTGAATTTGTTATAAAATAGCACACACAAAAAGCTCTCATCCACACGTGTTAAAGGGAATATTTATATAAAATGAGAATCGCTGTAAGTGGCAATAGAAGGCTAGTAATTGCACCATATGAGTACTATTATCAGTAGTGGTGATTATAGTGTTATAGAATAGTATTAAGGTTAAGAGCTAAACTATGTATGATCGGTCGCCTGTGTCCTTAATAATAACGTTACAAAGGCTGCATAAAAATGGTCTGTTGATAAAAAAGTGCTCAACTTGAAGAATGTCGCTTTTGATTAAATGTCCTAACTTTGCTTTTTGTTCTATATTGCAAGTGACCAATCTGATACACATTGAATTCTTTAACAAGTTAATAATGAGATTATTTGTCATCACCCTGCAAAGTTAGTCCTGGTCATACAGTCGACGCATATATCTTGTAGTTATAGAATAAACATTTAACTAAAATAGAAATGATCACATTTAACAGAGTAGTAGTTTAACATTTAACTGAAGTTACAGGCTCTCAGAATTGCACTGATGAGCATATACTCGAGTACATGTACTGAGTTACTTTGCATGTGAGCTGATGACATCATTGAGTGCAGTCCTCCACCTCCTCCTCTTCCTCCTCCTCCTCCTCCTCTTGCTTCTCCTCAAACAGACAGGCTGCTGAGGATACACAGCCAGAGGAATTATGCCCTTCCCAGCAGAGGCTTTCCCCGTTTGATGAGGTGACCTATGCATACCAAGTAGTTAAAAGTCCGGGGACATCCCCGTGTTTTTGGTAAGTGCAAACTATTTCCAGGCTCGATACGCAGCGCTGACTTTGATTTTTTTCCCCTCCTCATCTGCAGATAGTGCCAAAATGGCTAGAGTCACACGGTAGCTGCTAGTTGCTACTGTTGCTAGCTTCGCCCTAATGGCTATCAACTCAGAGGATCGTGAAGCATTATTAGGAAGAAATGTGATGTTAACTCAGATTAAGTGTGCGCAGAATGTCACGATGTTACATTTCATTAGAAAACAAGATAAAGGAGTGAGGAAAGAAATGCGACACAGGGAAAAATTTAATTTATATGCAAGCGATTCCAGCTGAATTAACCCCTAAATTATGCTTCATTGCATCAGGGTGGAAGATTCACATCATCTTGCAAGCAACAGTTTGATTTCTTATAAATGCTTTTTTACAGTGATGTTCTTAGTTTTTACTCACGTATAGGCCCGATTCAAAGAGCAGATGTAACGGTACTGCAGAGACTACTGGAAATGTATGTTACCATCCCTGTTTACATGCATGTAACATGCCGCTGTGTGGTGTGTGGACACTGACCAAAGAAACAGAGATACATTAGCTACATCTTTTTTTGCAGATTATTCACTCCAGCGGGGTTTTCGAGTCGCACCCTCCAAAAGTGATGCACAGCCCCTTCAAACTGCAGCCAAGCAAAACATTAGGAATCTCAGTTTGTGCGCATATCATAGGAAGAGGGAGAAGCGAAATAGAAACATTTCCTCTGTGTAACTAGTGTTGTTCTCAAAGTTCAAACTGTGCTCAGTGTTAATGATGTACAAAATACACTAAAGTAATGTACATTTGTATCATCAGTACCAGAGACAGGGAGGTGTTACAATATTAAATACCCATTATTAAACTGAGACTTGAGGAACAGAGACTTTTGCTTTGAGTCAGTAGTTTTTGTACAACATATTTAAGAGCTGAACCAGGACATGTTTCACTCACAATAACTGATTTGTATGATTTTTTAGGTCAAATGTCAGTTACAGTCTCCCCTGATGATGTTGGCCTGTGCGCCAGTTTCACAACAGTTTAATAGTTTCACCACTGTCCTTAGCCTTCAAATGCACTGGAGACAAATGTGATCATTTTAGTCAAGTGCTGTAATTTGTTTTTAATGCATTTACTCATGTCCCTTTTTGTTTTTCCTTTACTTTTCACAGTTTAGCATGAGCATGGAAGATTATGACTACCTGTTCAAAATAGTTCTGATAGGAAATGCTGGAGTTGGGAAGACATGTCTCGTCCGGCGCTTTACTCAGGTTTGTATTTGTCCGTCCTAATGAGTTTGTAGTTATTACAGAATATAAAACTATATTCCAATGTAATATGATATAATATATGATATGATATATTCTAAATTTAGGGCCTTTTCCCACCTGGACAAGGGGCTACTATTGGAGTAGATTTCATGATTAAAACTGTGGAAATCAAAGGGGAGAAGGTCAAGGTAAACAAAGATTAAACATTTTTTCCTTTATGCTTTCTAATAGTTTAGATGGACAGTTGCTCACTTGAAATATCTGTTTTTTCAGCTGCAGATATGGGACACAGCTGGACAGGAGAGATTTCGCTCCATTACTCAGAGTTATTACCGTAGTGCCAATGCCCTCATTCTTACGTATGACATTACCTGTGAGGACTCCTTCAGGTGCCTTCCAGAGTGGCTGAGGGAGATTGAGCAGTATGCCAACAACCAAGTGGTGACTATATTAGTCGGTAAGAAACTTTCACTTCCTACTTTAATAACTGATGGACCTCTTTTATCATCATGCTCATTGTTCATCATGAGAAAACTGAATAATAGTGTGCACTATATTTGACTGGACCTGACCTGGTTTTCTGAGCCCACTTCAATGTGAGCATGAATTACTGAGCCGATATCAGCGGCAGTTTCTGAATGGATTTGCAAAAGGCCAGTTTTGTCTTTGTTAACGT